AAAAAACCTCTTGGTTCAAGAGTGCAGTTTCTTGTCGGCGGATTTAAGAGTCTGGACTCTTGTTTCAATGCAAAATCCGCTTGAAACAAGAGTTCAAGACTCTTAAATCCGGCGACAAGAAACTGCACTCTTAAGTCAATGCAATGCGGCATTGGTCCAAGAGGTTTTTTTGCCAGTGAATTGGGTTAAAAAATGGGGAAAAAGAAGAAAAAAGGGGAAAAGAGGGAGAGAGAAAAAGGCATCTGAAAATTCACTGGCATGGTTTCAAGACAGAACTTTAAATCAAAGTTTACCAAACTAAAGGTTACTCAATACCGCAGAAATAAATACTTCATATACTAAAAGAAAATTACGCCAAAAGATATTTGTAGCAAGTAAAAAATCAAAGATTTATGACGCTTTAGCGAATGTTTTTGTGTTTTTTTTTTATCTCACCTTCTGGTTACCGTGCAGGCATAGGAACACTGAAGAACTATAATCTAATCGGATCTGAGAAGGTGAATGGAGCTTTGCACCTATGACGGATACAATTTTAAACACTAAAAGCAATGTGATGTTATTTGATCGGGTCGATATGAAGTCAGACGTGACATCAGAATTAATGACATTGTGACAGATGTAAAATTTTCAGCCAGCTCATGTCATGCGTCGACCCTGACAATGTTTCAGAACACTCACTGCACCTGAGCGAAAGCTTAAAATTCAAACAGAAACGAAATTTATGAGTATTTAACCATCGAAGAATGCGCGAAGGAAAAATCTACCACGTTCATTTTTAGAAGATGATGAATAGGTTTCTAAACCTTGAATTTTCATTTAATATTCCGTAAGTACTAGGTGAGTTGATTATATGTACGTAGTCATCTATTGTATATTTTTAAGCCAAAATCCTGGATATTCCCGCTTTTAAAAAGTCCAAAGACTCGAAGGAATTTCAATCGCGCCGGAATAGCGGGAATATGATAGAAATGATGCAATACATCAGTCAAACCGCTACATCTCCTCTCATTTTCCTCTGGTGTTTGTTAAAATATAACGTATTTCAATGTGAATTTTTGCTTTTTAACCACATGTAACACGAGTAAAATTTGATCCTTCGATTCTAAGGTGTACTTCAGTGGCTTGGCGTGAATTGCGATTTATCGATTGTTATGCCATTTAAACCTATGGAAAAGGATCGATACACAGGGTGTTCGCAGCGGACACCTTAAAAATCAATTCTTTACCATAGGTTTACATGGCATAACAATCGATACATCGCAATTCACGCCACGCCACTGGTGTACTTATATTGTTTTCATGCACGAGGAGAAGAAAGACATTTGCCGGAAGTCGTATACTGCCGTACTTTGGAAGAACGCCGTATAAATATTCGAGAGTTGTCAAATTTCTCTCGATAAAACACGTATTTTCGCTGCAAGTCAAGCTTATGTTTCTTTGAAATTTTCAGATATTTTAGATTGAATTGCGTTCAAAGTTGTCTGAAAATTTTGAAAAAGAATAAATACAATTTTCCCAGTAAATTCGGTTTTTATCGAAAGAAATTCGGCGACGTCTGAAGGTCCATTCGGCGTTTTTTCTTATCACAGCAGTATGAACCTGTGCTCGCTTCTGATGGATGGTGGATGACATTTTTCGGTTCGACGAGAAACCGGGGCGCTTTAATTTTGCGGAAAAGTTGCGATTTTTGAACTGCGTGTTTCTCGGTTTCTAAGTTATTTGTACTTTTTCGCGTTTTTAGTCTGTGCATCGTGTTTCACTCGCTATTCACCTTCAGAAAAATGTATTCTAATCTGCCGAGTTGAGGGAAAACGCCGTATGAACATTCAAGAATTTCCAAATTTCTCCGCATTTAACATGTATTTTTGATGAAATTATGCATATATTTTTCCGTGAAATTTTCGGATATTCCGCCGTGCTAAGGAAGAACGTCGTATGAGCCCTCAGGCGTTGCCAAATTTCCTTTTATAAATTACGAGTTTTCCGTAAAATTTTCGGATATTCTGCCGTGCTAAGGAAGAACGCCGTAAGAGCCCTCAGGCGTTGCCAAATTTACTTTTATAAATCACGAGTTTTCCGGAAAATTTGTAAACGATTTACCTCCAATTTTCCAGATAATTTTGTTCGCGATTTCACCTTAATTCCCTGAAAATTCCGAGGAATACTATCCATAGTTTTCTTCAAAAATGAACATTTGATGGAAATTTGGCAACTCTCGCACGTTCATACGGCGTTTTTGCTTAGCACGGCAGTTTTCTAGATCGAACTGCGAACTAAACTATCCGAAAAATTTGAAAAAAAAAACATTCAAAATCTTTCCAGTTAATTCAATTTTACTGAAGGAAATCTAGCAACGTTTAAAGGCTCATACGGCGGTTTTCCTTAGCACAGTAGTAGTGTACTGCCGTGCTAAGGAAGAACGCCGTATGAACATTCAAGAGTTGTCAAATTACCTTCAATTAAATGTTTATTTTTGAGGAAACTTATGATTATTTTTCCTTGAAATTCTCAGGGACTTCAGGTGAAATTGCAAACAAAATTATCTGAATAATTGGAAGGGAAATGTTCATAAGTTTACTAGGAAATTCGTGTTTCATTAAAACAAATTTGGCAACGTCTGAAGGTTCATACGGCGTTTTTCGTTAGCACGGCAGTGTAGGCACTGAAATTGAGGGGAAACGTCTTCTTCCGCCTCCTTCAAATTTTGTTGAGGCCGTCGCTCGGTACGTGTTTACGCCCAACAACTTTGAACGGTGAAAGCAGTGAAAGCGGTGGAGGCGAACTTTCACCGAGAACGAAATCGACACGCTCCTCCGGGACTTGGATTTGGAATGAGTTAAAAGCGTGGCGTGAATTGCGATATATCGATTGTTATGCCATTCAAACCTATGGAAAAGGATCGATAGATAGGTTGTTCGCAGCGAACACCTTAATAATCGATTCTTTATAATAGGTTTAAATGACATAACAATCGATGTATCGCAAAGTACGCCACGCCACCGTATGAGTTGTTACACCGGGGCTCGTCTCTGAGTATCTTTTTGCGAATATAAAAAGGCGGTGCGTTATCGTAAATTCACTCGACAGCCGAATCATCGTTGCTAGATTCTGCTGGAAATTCAGCACTTTCCTCCATTTAGGCCCAAGTAAAATTTCTAAACGTCATGGTAGAATCTGGCAACCTTGAGCTGGATTCGCTTGGGAGTTGCCAAGGTCAAAGAAATCGAATATATCTTTTTATTTTCGCTCTTGCCGAATCGTTCTCAAACCCGTCGGATTGCGAAAACCGGGCCAGATATCCACCGTCTAAAGCAAGAGCACCGAAAGGGCCGATTTTATATAACGGGAGAATTGAGGTTTTCAATTTTTTAAAAAAGAGTTCCTGAAACTATGAAAACCAAATACTTCCTGAAGGCGTATACATCCGACTATGAGAATAATATATTTGCCACCCCTTATTTTCAGGTCTTGTTCGATTATAAAAAAGGGCACCATAAGGGCCGATTTTATCTGACGGGAGAATTGAGGTTATCAATTTTTTAAGGAAAAGTTCCTGAAACTATGAAAACCAAACATTTTCTGAAGCCGTATACATCCTACTACGAGAGTAATACATTTTTCACCCCTTATTTTCAGGTCTTTTTTGATTGTAGAAAGAGCACCGTAAGGGCCGATTTTATCTAACGGGAGAATTGAGGTTTTCAATTTTTTTAAAAAAAAAGTTGCTTAAACTTCGGAAACCAAACACTTATACATCCTACCATGAGAATAATATATTTGCCACCCCTTGTCACTTTTTTGATTATAAAAAGAGTTTTATGGTCAGAAAACCGTGATTGGTTTCAATTACAGTGACGCTTTTCACTTCGTCTTAATTTTCATGGTTGCATGGTGACATGCAATATACAGGCTAAATCGCACAATCCCTATCTTAGCAATGCTTTTCATCGATCAAGGTCTTTCGATATCCATTCAACAGTCGAACCCTGATCGATAATCCCTATCTTAGCAATGCTTTTTATCGATCAAGGTCTTTCGATATCCACTGAAAAAAAAAAACTCGGTGTATTTACTAAGAAAATGGTAAAATTACCAAGAATTCAGGGTTCTTTTTTATCCCAGTTTTTTCTTGGTAAAATTACCATTTATGGAATTGGTAATTTTACCAAGAAATCTCGGTAAAATTATTGAACTTTCTCGGTAATTTTACTGGACCCTGGTAGAAACGCCAATATTTTTTATCGACTGTAGTAGAATTACCGAGATAAAATGGCAAAGTTACCGGGAATTGATTATCAATAAAAGTGGTATTCTTACCTGAAGAAAACAGTAAAAATACCGGTTTTTAGGTAAGCTTAACAGTCTGTCTTGGTAAAATTACCAATAATAGGTAAAAAAAAGTGAGATGGTAAAGGTATCAACGGACCTTGGTAAAAACGCCGAGAATTTTTTTTTTCAGTGTCCATTCAACAATCGAACCCTGATCGATAATCCCTAGCTTAGCAATGCTTTTTATCGATTAAGGTCTCTTGATATCGATTCAACAATCAAGCCGGAGGGCAATGAAAACTCAGGTAAACAAGAATTACATCTACGATTTACTCACTTGTTTTCCGAGGGCATGAGCTTCTTCGCAACGGAGGTGAAAAACACACATAACTCAGAGTTTCAGTCGTACGCGGAAACTTTTTTCACCGAGAGAGCAGCTTCCTGTTAGAGTCTGTGTTTCATCGGCTGGAAGTTACTAAAGTTCGCCGTAAGTTTACAGGTTCCGAGTAATCGAGTCCTTAAGTTTATCACTTTCACAATGATGTTCACGCACAATACATCGAGGTTTCGGCACGTTCAGGCAAATTTTAAACCGATAACCGGGAATGCACCGTCTCTAAGCGGCAACTTATACAAAGACAGAAACAGAGATATAAAAATGAATTTAGAAGTAAACTGAAATGAAGTTATTTAATTGAATACGATATAAACGATTTACAAATCGCCCGTTATCGTTAAATAAGTTAAGACAAGTCGTAACAAAGTAAGATTACTGGCAGGTAATATTAGATATTTTTTGTTAATTTGAGTTTGTAAATAATTATCTTTGAAGTTAAAAAAAGTAATCAATTTTAGTAAGTTAACAAAAGATTTAGTAAAATGGTACAATTATATTAGTTTTAACTCTGTACTTTTAACTCTGTACTGTTTTCTTCAAAGTTTCCATCAGAGATCGTATTTTTAATGGTAAAACTATTTTCAGTTCTTGGAAAATGGGGGAGTTAAGTTTTTATTATCAGGAATATTTGATGTATAGACTGATGGACATCGACGACTTTCAGAGAAAAATGACAATAAAACAGCAAAAGGGTGATAATTATCTGTGATAAAAGGGTCCCCTCAGTTCATGCAGGGAACACACCGTTGGATTGTAAGTGATGAGAGGAAACCGAGATGTTATGGATAAATTTCTTTTAATTTACTGATCCATCATGATCGAAATGGTAATGAGGTTATGGTTATTTTGTCTCGAATTATACCTTGAAATTACTAGATGTCTACTATATTATTATCCGCAGTATTTACACCAGTTTCGAGAAGGCGAATTGTACGT